CCAGAATACAAAAACTGTTTACAAATTGCAGTGTTTTAACATCTTTTGATACTTTGAAATCATTTGACAATATCATGACAAAAGAAAAGAGAAAAAGAACACAGTCTCAAAGATAGACACATTAAATAAATAGATAGAAAGAAATTGAAAGAAAAAGATAAAGAAAAAGATAAAGTAAAGAGAGACTATAACAAAACAAATTATTAAAAGAGAGTGTATAGCTGTTTTAACAGACTATATCTGATTTATTTCCTCCTCTTCATACTCAGATAATTCTGAATTTAGCCATTTTCTTGTAGCTGCTTGAGTTTCTGATAGAAAGTCTATTAAGTATTTAATTCCTGTCTCAGTTGAGAATAAGAATCTCATATTTAATTGATTTAGATCATACTTCTCTTTCAATCTGGCTCTGAGACTATTGTATAATGCACAGTGCATTACAATATGCTCAGGATTCTCATTTGTATTGCAGAATGAGCATTCTATTGAGTCAAATCTATCATCAAATCTTTGTATATAAGATTTGAAATAGTCATGTCCTAGTTTCAGCTGTATTATAGATGAGAATATTTTCTTTTTACATTTAATTGAACAAGATTTCCACTTGGGTTTTGTTTCAAATCTTGAATAATGTATACTCTTCTTTTGTTTCTGCCAGCTTTCATTCCACTTGTCTAAACAAGATTCTTTTATTTTTCTCTTTATAAAAGACCAGGACACAATTTTTTGAATAGATCTGCTTAATTCTGCATCCTTTTTTGCAGCTGAATCAGCCAATTCATTACCATGGATATTCATGTGAGCAGGAACCCAGTGTAGATGAATTATCAGCTTTGATGTTCTTCTCTTTTGAATTTTCAAAACAGAGTTTAAGATCAGTTCAAGATTCATTTGATCATTATGAATCTGACTATTTCTAAGTCTTTTTAAAGCAGCTTGACTATCAGAGAATATCCATGTCTCTTTCAAACAATTTCCTCTTTTATGAGATTTTATTTCAATGAGTTTGAAAGCTTTCACTATTACAAATAGTTCAGCATCAAAGACTTCACATTCAGAGCCTAGATTCCAGAAATCTGAGATAAAATTAATATTATCTTCAGTATAAGCAATGCCTGCGTCTAATCTATTCAAGTTCTCATTTTTTGAGCCATCTGAATAAACCAGAATAGAGTCTTTTATATTGATTGTAGAAATTCTCTTCAAATGCTGTTCATATTCTTTCTCTTTTGATAGTTCACTTATTTGTAAGTCTATAAGAGATTCAAGCTTTTCTCTCCAGGGAGATAACTTCTCATGATCAACTTTTTCAACATTTAAAGAAGAAAATTGATTTTTAATCAGAGAGCATAGTCTGTACAGTTGAGAAGGCATTTTCTTTGAAGAATTATTTTCATTTCAATCAAGAAATCTATTCCAATCCAGTTCATTTCCAGAGTTAATTGATGGAAATGAAGAAGAGACTCTTTCTCTGATTATATGATTTGAGCTCATCTTTACAACTCTCAGAGTATAGTTCATACAGGCCTTTTCAAATCTAATAGCAGGAGGAGGAATTGAAGCTTCAATTTTCATTGCTTTAATAGGAGATGATTTGAATGCTTCCAGAATTCTTCTCAAGGCTCTGTTTTGCAGACTTTGAAAGAGTTCAGTGAAATTCCCTTGATTATTCCATCAAACTTGAACTCCATAATCAGCTACTGATGTGATACAGGCTATATATAACTGTCTCATAGCCTGAAAGGATAGACCTCTCTCTGTATTTGATAGTCTGATTATGTTGTTCAATAGTCTTTCTGCCTTGATAGTTCTTTGTTGAATGTGATATTTAAAATTCAACTTGGAGTTTAACCATACTCCTAACCATTTGACATTTACACTGGGTTTAATCTCTCTATTTAAAAGAGTTAGAGATAGTTCTTTCTCATTGAGTCTAGGAAAGAAATGAATTAACTCAGTTTTATTCATATCAAATTGAATTTGATTGATATCTGCTCTAACAAAGATTTCCTTTGCAGCTTCTTCAATTACTTTCAAATTCTCTTTGATAGTTTTTGAGCTGTAGACTAGACCAATATCATTCACATAACTCAGAGATCGCACTATTCTCATATTTCTATTTTTGAATAGATATGCAGTGTATATTACAAATAAAATGGGTGAGATTGAAGATCCCTGTGATACTCCTATTTTTATCTCAGTCTTGTCTTGTTTCATTCCATCAAAGAAGAGTTGTATAATTCTTTTAGATATAAAACAGTTAACCCATTTTATTAGAGAAAGTGGCAGTTTTAATATCTTCAATGTCTGAATTAACTTTGACTTTGAAACATGATCAAATGCTCTCTTTATATCAATAAAAACTGCAGTTGAGACCAGACCCTCATGCTTTGCTATTTGAATATCATGAACAACTGAGAGAACAGTGTCAATTGCAGAACACTGTTTTCTACCTCTCATTTGTTCACTGAATAAAAGAGAATCATCTATAGAGCTTATAAAAGATAGTTGAGTAGCTATTATCTTTTCTAAAACCTTTCCTAAACAGTTCAATAGAGATATTACTCTATATGACTTAGGAATTGAAGTTTTTCTATTAGGTTTTGCAAGAATCACTCCAGTGGCTTCTCTCCAGCATTCAGGATGATATCCATTTTTCAAGAGATTGAAAAAGAGCTCAAAATATTCATTCTTTAAGTAGGAATATGTATTTTGAATAATCAAGTGATTAATTGAATCAGGACCTGCAGCAGTTTTAACAGAACTTGAGAAGATAGCTGACTCTAATTCATCTTGTGTAAGATCACGCCATTCCCAGTCATTTTCATCAATGTAGTTGAGAAGTGATATATTCTCTTCCTCTGAATCTGAATCTGAGTCTGATGAGTTCTGAAAGAGAATTCTCATGAAAGCTTGACATTTTTCCTCAAAAGAGTTTGCTGTATATGATTCATTCTGAAACTCATATTCTAAGGCTGGAAGTTTTGCTACACTTCTTGTTTTAATATAGTTAAAAGCTTTAAAAATTTCCTTTCCTTGTGCTTCTTCAAGAAATTTATTCCAGCAGTCTGTTTTAGCTCTTTTGATATCTGAAAAATATTCATTTCTGACAGCTTTGAACTCTTCATCAGATATTACATCATTTTTCCAATCTCTTCTAGCAGTAGCTAATTCTTTTCTTTTAGATGAGATATTCTCATTCCATCAAGGTTTTGAATACTCAGAAGATTTTCTTTTTGGAATATTATCTCTAACACTTGTTAGAATAATAGATGTAATAAGCTTCACTCTATTCTCAAGCATTTCATTTGAGATATCTTGACCAGAATTCCAATATAGCTCATTCTGTCTTTCAGATTTTAGCAGTTTTATGCTTTCTTCAACTGCTTTCCAATCAGCTTTTTCAAAGTTATACTGATTAGAGAGAAGAGGATTTTCACTCATTTGTTTTTCACTCAGTTCAATATCAAATTAAATAATCTCATGATCTGATCCTGATGTCTCATTTGAATCAATAAACCAGTTTACAAGTCTTCTTTCCATTAGATTTTGTGACATGAAGGTTAGATCTATAATAGACTTCTGTTTCATGCCTTTTCTAAAGAATGTTTGTTGATCAGACTTATTAACCAAATCTATTGAATGCTCAAAGATTCATTTAATCAGATTATCAGCTCTCACTGCTCTCTTGCATTCTGAATTTCATCAGGGATGATGTGCATTGAAATCTCCTGCAATTATAGAGTTTCTTGATGAAGTTATGTTCAGAAATCCTCTATCAATTGTCCAGATATTGTTATTTTCCTTCAATGACTTTTCATTATAGATATTTATGAGCTGTATAGTATCAAACTCATTTTCTTTATCTATAATATCACCCACCAGAATATCAGGGTCAGACATGATATCAAATCTTAGATTAAATTGATATCTTGATCTCTTTCTTCTATAGATCACTACTCTTGACTTTATCTCAGACTTTTGAGGTAAAAAGCAGTAGTAGCTTGAATGAGAAATAACATATTTTTGCTCAGCATCAAAATTCGGCTCCTGAAGCAGTATAAAATCAACTTTTTATTCAAATGCAATTTGAAGACAAGAATAAATACAATTTGAGTTTCTATCCACATTATTTTGAATAAATGTGATTTTTGAAGAGTTTTTAAACTTTTTTTGTTGTTTTTGTTGTATATTCATACTAAAAGAGAGTAGAGTAGAATCTAATCACTATCATCAGATAGTAGATTATAACTGTTCTGAAAAGTAGAAATCTCAACTGCTTGCATTATATCTAGTTTATCACCAGAGTCATTTCTCAATTCTCTAATCTTAACAGAAGTTTGAGGATTCAAGTTCTATTTACATTTAGCTGAAGAGTTGAAGTTTGAAGACTTAGATAGTTGAGAGTTTCTTCTTTTTGAGCTTGCAGTTGTGAGTTTACTGACTTGACTCTTCTCTTCAGTTCTAGATTGACTTTGAGCTTCATCTTTTCTCCAGTTCTTTTGAGTTCTAGGAGCAAACATACATTCTTTTGAGCTAGATGCATGTTTTTCTTTGCAATTAGAGCACTTAAGCAGAGTGTGTTGACAAATTTCACCTCTTTTTGAGCATGTTTCACATTTATGCTCACTAGTTTTGTGATCTCTGGCACAGAATGCACATTTTGAGTCTCTAAAACATGAGATTGCAAAGTGTTCATATCTTTGACAGTTTGAACACTGTGTTTGAGCTTTGAGGTTCATCCTTGAGTCTTTGTATTCATGAACTCTCATTTTCAAACCTGCTACTCTTACTTCAGAGATCTTTGACTGTTCAAGTGTTTTTGTATATACTAGAACAGAGACATTTCTCCTGCTTTGTCTGAACTCAATTGAATTTAGTCATACAGGCTCCTTTCTCAGTTGAATAGAGTTGTATTCTTTCAATTCATTTTTGAGAAGTAGCATTCCTTCTTCACAGTCAAAAATTTCAACTGAAATATCATGAAGAATGAATTTGTCTCACTTTTCATCTCTTTCAGGTAGAATTATTGTGTTTAACAAAGATTCTACTGCTGACTTCCAGAGATTCTCATTCTGAATAAGGAATTCAGCACTGAATTCAGGCATTGTAGTCAGAATGATGGAGTTTTCAAAGAATGATGGTTCAATTGAAGCTATAACTGGTTTTTGAACTTCAATATCAGTCATTAACTGAGAAAAGAACTGCTGGTTAATTTCATTTCTAATTCTGAAAATGAGATTTGAGTTTAGCTTGTTTCTTTGCAGAATGTCCTGGTTTGAGACTTTGAGAATAAGTCTTCTATTTCTGGAGATTTGAAAGTTTTTCTCTTTTTGCATTTTCTTTTCCACTTTTCTATGAATAGAGGCATGAGCAGTATTCTTCTCAGTTTTCTCAGAATTTTGAGCAGGTTTTGAGACAGTAGATTTAGAGATAGCAGGTTTAGAGACAGCAGATTCAGCTGCTTGAGCATATGTTTTCTTCTGATTCAAAGAAGGAGAAGAAGAAGAAGTAGAAAAGAAAGAAGAGCAAACTGAAGAGTCAGTGATTGTATTAGAAATTTTCAAAGTTTTTTGAACTGTGTTTGAAATTCCAAGTTTGAACTTGATCACTTCCTGTAGTTGTCTAGCCTGAGCATGAAGAATTAACAGAACTTCTTCATTCATCTCACTCAGACACTGCTTTCCAAGAATTTTACTTACTTTTTCAAGTTTCTGTATTTCAAGAACTTGTTGTTTCTCTATCTCTTCTTTCTTTCTTCTCTTCAGAATTTCAATCTCAGGAATAGCATTTGAGAAAGCATCTTTTTCCACATCAACTGAGTGTACTTTTGAACTCATTGTTCTTACTCAATAAAAAGTTGATCAGACTAATTCAATTGAGATATTTATTAAACTCTTTTGAATTGAAAAGTTGGTCAGACTGTTTCAATTAAGAGGTTTCTAAGTCTGTTTTCAATTGAAAAGTTGGTCAGACTATTTCAAAAGAAGAATCGCAGACTTTTGTGTATAAAACACCTGATTTTTTTCACACTAGTTCAGTAACTAGGTTAGATTTTTGAAGAGAATCTAATAAACTAAAATTGATTTTTAAGATAAATCAATAAAATCTTTACAATCTCTTTCTTGGGATATAGTGAGGAAAAGTATGATATCAATTGATAGTAAATCAGATGATATGACAGTTTTTGAGAGAAAAACTGACAAAAAATAAATCAATTTTTTGAAGAGAAATTGATTAAAACTATTCAATTTTATTCTAAATTATCCAATTCTCCTCGCACAACAGGTGTGCAACTCAAATCAGTTAATAAAGAGTGTAAAAAAGAATTAAGTATTAATGAAAGCTCTTCAGCCACTGAAAAAGTAATTCTTACTTAAAAGAATATGAAATTATGACAGAAAACAACTCTGTTTTTAATTCTTTGTAAGAATATTGTGTAAAACCCAGAGAAAAACACCTTACTTTTTTAAGAGAAGTAAAAAACTATTTCTAAAATCTTTTTTTTGCATTAACTGCTGCAGAAGAATGAGATAGAAACTGCTAAGATATGCACTACTGTATATCCCCTACCAAGACTTTCCCTCTTCAGAGTCTTGATATTATAGAGAATATAAGTCTGTTTCTATATGATAATATAAATATTGCCAGCGGGATGTAGAGGAACTGGTTATTTATATCTCAAAATAGAAGACTTTGTCAATGATTATATCAATATAGAGTTAATTCTCAAATTCAATAGAAACCTAGTGTTGCTGTTCTCAATCCCTTGCAGAATCTATTGAATATTGAGGTATTAAAACTAGATTTAATATATCTCACTGTGCAGGGATCAAAGGCTCAGTCAGACCTTGGGGTATACTGATTTTATAGTTGTCGTGTCTGCCGATTATGTATTGAGTACAGTTGCTGAGGTATCTTTTTGTACTTTTCTGTCGGGGATGGGCCAGATTGAGAGGGGTGGTACGAGGGCGAGACTTGGCGTTGATGTTCAGATACACTGAAGACAGACCGCGGAGGTTGCACTTCAGAAGTGGCCGTTGGTTATGTGCTTGATATTATCGCCGAGGTATCTTTTTGTATTTTTCTGCCGGGAATGGGCCAGATTAGGAAGGACGGTACAACGGTGGGACTTGGCGTTGGTGTTTTGGAACATCAAAGATGGACAGGGTTTTCGCGGAGGTCGCTCCTCAGATATCTCCACAACTACAGATCGGGGATCTTCCAAAATCGAGAAGATTGGTGCATATGGCTAGGTCTCTTCACCTTACAATTTGTATGGCACTTTGGCCCGGGGTTGTGGTGTGGTAGGGGAGAACGGGGGATACTCCCACACAGGAGTTTTGAACAACGTCCGGTTCACGTTTGGCTGGATAACTCCACCACCACACAGGGTATGCGGTCGGCGATGGGGTCAGAATGCTCGTATGATCGAGGGCTTTTCGATGGATCTATCGGCGGGTTCTTATTCGAAAAATCGAGCGAGTTCGTGGTGGAGCGGTCCCCTGAATTAGAAGATATATAGAATCTCTCAGAGAGTTTACTCAAAGCAGTAAGAAAAGTGACTGAGACTGTTAAATCAGAATTGAAGCTCTGTACATATATAAGAATTCTAAATGAGATTAAGGCCTTGTGTATACAGTGACAGACTGAGACAGAAGTCAAATAACAATTGACATTTACTGTGAATTAAGTATTCACTATGAAGAGCTTTGCTGACACAATCATCATTATTAATAAGAATAGAGAAAATCAGATCTTAGATCTATAGCAGAAGATTAAATGTTTATATAGACAGATAACTACACTGAATCTGAAGATTTTATTATGATTATTTATAATCTCTTCAGAAGTGTACATATTATCAGAGACTGCTATGTAGAATGAGAATCTGAATATAAAATATATTAAGCTGAAAGATCTGTCAGAGTTATTAAGCTTTAATAACAACTGAAAAAATAATGCTATAATCAGCTGACTAAGTCAGATATAATTATATTATTGAATTGAATATGAACTCACAGACAGACAGTTAATGAAATTTCAACAAGTTTTAAAATCTGCTGTGTTTCTACACAGAAAAGCAAAGTCATTATAAATAACTGATAAAAAGATAAATCTCAGACTCAGAGTGATATTCATTCTTATAAACATGAAATGAGTTTTTCAAATGAATCTTACATAACTTTGAGAAAGTGAATATATAAGATAAGTATTATAAACACTTCACTGAGTATAGATAAGTGAGTAATCTTATATTATACTTTATACACTTCAGCTTACACTATCTTGTATTGAATGAAGAACTTTTAACATCTTTCTATTTACAGATCTTCATTCATGATCTTACATCTAAGTTAAGAGTGAAATGAAAATGCTTAATCTCACAGTCAGACACAGTGAAGATAGCATATAATATTCTCATTATATGTGGTTCGGAAGAACGTACGACTGTCGGATAATAACGCGGCCGCTTCTGAACTACTAGTGTACGAATGTAAAGAGGGCCCTAGCGGCCACTAATTAATTTAGTGTATGAGATTCAATATATAAGAAGCCGGTGTACGCCTGTAATCATACACTGGCTTAAGCAACCTTTGAATCACATCTGATAGCATGTCTAAAAACCAGTGAGAAGCACAGGCTTCTCCAGAACATGATAATTCCATCTACAAAGCAATTTATAGTTATCATGCCAGTGTAGTTCTAGAACATCTCAAAAGATAGTGTACAAAGAGTGATGAGTAGAAGAGCATCTGATTAATACTGCTTCACTTGTTGAAGAAAAACTTCACACTCAGATGAATGCCATGTATACAAATGAATGAGATGTGAGAAAGGAGATGAAAGCAGTGAATCAGATTCAAAGAAGTTCACTCCCTACTCAAATGAAGAATAAAAAGAGAGAAGTGACCACCACCGGAGTCATACAATGATAACAGAAATCATATAGTGATATAATGATACAAGTGATATAATAATAGACATTGTACAATTAATCAGAAACCACTGAAATGAATATCTTCTCTAGCTAATATAAATAACACTCTTCTCTACTATCTGAACTGAAAGATATGCAGAATCTCTCAGAGAGTTTACTCAAAGTAGTAAGAAAAGTGACTGAGACTGCTGAATCAGAATCAAAGCTTTGTACATATACAAGAATTCTAAACAAGATCAAGATCTTGTGTACACAGTGACAGACTGAGACAGAAGTCAAATAACAATTGACATTTACTGCAGATCAAGCATTCACTATGAAGAGCTTTATCAATGCAATCATCATTATCAATAAGAATAGAGAAAACCAGATCTTAGATCTGCAGTGAGAGATTGAATATTTATATAGATAGATAACTACACTGAATCTGAAGATCTTATCATAATTGTTTATAATCTCTTCAGAAGTATACACATCATCAGAGACTGCTGTGCAGAATGAGAATTCATATATAAAATATATTAAGTCAGAAGATCTGCTGAAGTCACTAAGCTTTAATAGTGACTGAAAAAATGATGCTGTAATCAGCTGACTAAGTCAGATGTAATCATATTATTAGATTGAATATGAACTCATAGACAGACAGTTAACAGAATTTTAACAAGTCTTAAAATCTGCTGTGTTTCTACACAGAAAAGCAAAGTTATTATAAATAACTGATAAAAAGATAAATCTCACAGATCTGAAATAATATTCATTCTTATAAATATAAAATGAGTTTTTCAAATGAATCTTGTATAACTTTGAGAAAGTGAATATATAAGATAAGTATTATAAACACTTCACTAAGTGTAGATAAGTAAGTGATCTTACATTATACTTTATACACTTCAGCTTATACTATCTTATATTGAATAAAGAGCTTTCAATATCTTTCTATTTACAGATCTTCATTCATAATCTTACACTTAAGTTAAGAGTAGAATGAAAATGCTTAATCTCACAGTTAGACACAGTGAAGAAAGCATATAATATTCTTATTATATAGAAACAAGTGAGTCAATTGCAACAGAAAATACTGCAATTGAGTATATTTCAGTGAAGAATAAGTAATCAGACTTCTATAACACAAGTTATACACTCAGATATAATAAATCTAGATCTGAATATCATTACTAAAGTACTGAATTCTCTGAAAAAGAAATCCTCTGAATGAAAATCTTGATATCATGAACATCAAGCTTGCTTTAACTGTAGACATCAAAATCATGATGCAAAAGATTACACTCAGTGTGCACAGTTAAGAGAAGTAAGAGAGTCAAAAAACTAGTAAAATCAGTGAGCTCAGAGACACTCACTGATATTCTATAAAAAGTCTTTAAAGTGAAAGAGATGCCTGTATTAGATGACTCTCTGAATTCTATAAATGTCAAGAGAAAGCAGGCTTCTGACTGAGATACAGATGAGAATAATGAAGTGAACACTTATCTCAATGTCTTGAGACCTGAAATGTTAATATATAGAAGACACTTAAGTAAGAATTGAGAGATAGCTGCAAAAGTGTTAACAGATACAGAAGCTTCTATATAATATATTAATGATTATATAATCTGAAGATTAAAAGAGGTCTGTTAAGTGAAGAATTCTCAATACATAAGATTATCTGATAACTGATATTTGATATCATCTGTAAGAGTAAGAGTTCTCTTGCACTTTGAAGAATGATCTTGCTATATTTAGATGTGAGAGCTGCAGAATGTGAAATACAACCTTATTCTCAGACTTAATTGATTTCAAAGATTCAACTCACAGATTCAATGATGTACATGTTATATACAGTTGATCAATAGAAAGAAAATGATTCATACAATTCTATCAACTAATATGAGAAGAACATTT